TTCGACGAAATTTGCTGCAAAATATGCGAAAAGCTAAAAAATGAGTAAATTTAATATTTTCCCGCCGGGTTACTGTCGCACTCGTTTCAACTGTTTCCGGTTGTTTACGCTTTCAGATATTTGTTTACAAACATCGCATACACTTCGACTCAACCTTTTTTTCTCTGACAAGGATAATATTCAGAGAATTTCAGAAGTTTGAGAATGTTAAAAATTGTTTGAAACATTTCGAAATTCTAGAATTTCGGAAATCAAAAAAAATTGAAAAATTTCGAAATTCGGAAATTAAAGATATTGAATTTCTGAAATTCTGAAAAAGGACGTTTTGCTTTTTTAGGCCATTTTCAATTTGTGCAACTTCCTTCCGAATTTTCTGAAATTTCAAGATTCCGATTTTCCTAATTTTCAACGTTTTGAAATTTCCAAATTTTTGATCTTCGGGATAATTCTGAATTTTCGAAAAAAAAACATACTTGTAAAATTCCGGGCCGGCCCGCCAAAATTGGGAAAAAAGCCCGGCCCGGCCCGGCCCGTTACAAGTATGAAAAAAACAAATTTCAATCTCATTTTTTCCAGGCTCTCTCGCTCGGCCTCTACATGATCTCACTGATCGTCTTCGATCAATACTTTGACCGTCAATTCGTCCTCTCATGGGTCTTCATCTCAAAAACCACCGCCATCACCGCCGTCTCGTGTCTTCCGCTGTACATTGTGAAGGCGTTGCGCCGGAAATTCTCACCGCCAAGCTATGCGAAAGTTAACTGAAGAAGGCTTTCTCTGGAATTTCAATTTTTTGCTGAAAAATTTTTTTTTGAATTTCCCGCCATTTCTTCTTTTTTTGTATAATCGCTTTTCCCCCATTTTTTTCCATCTCTAAAAAGCTTTACTAGTTTTTTTTCTTCTCGTTTTTGCAATTCCCTCCTCCCGGCTTTTCTCTACGGTGTCTTTTTTAAATGCGCTCCATTGATAATTTTTTTTGAGTTTTTCAAAAATTTGCCATAGAGCGCACTTGTGTGATGCATATATGTATTTATAGAAAATCATCGACATAGACAAGGCAACACATATCACAGAAGATTTTGGATTGTTTTTAAAATTCAAAAAAAAATAATTTTTTGAATTTCTTAGCTATTTTCCTCCCTTTTTTTGGTTCCTTTCCGATTTTTTTTTGGGTAATTACCTCCTAATTACCCTCCAATTACCCATGAGCAATGAAGTATTTTTCCTTGTTGATAAATAATGATTTTTCTAGAATTTGTCTGGAATTCTTTGTTTTTCCTCTCACTAACTTGTTAATTATCGAATTGATTAATTATCTAACCGAAACAATTTTTTTATTCGATTTTCAGATTTTTTTTCTTCGAAAAATTCGGGAAAACAATATTTTTGAAATTTATTAAAAATTGCTGAAAATTTCGAAAAATAAAAAAATTTCAATTTTTATGGATTTTGAAAAATTAAGAATTTTCAAAAAAAACTACTGAAAAAAACCTGGAAAGCTGTAATTTTTAAATTTCAAGAAAATTGCAAATTTTGAGAACTTTCTGGAATTTCTAGACAGCGAAAATTTTGAAAAAAATTTCAAAAATGTTTATGCTGAAATTTCAAGAAACACTCGGGTTTTTCAAATTTTTTCATGCCGGAAAAAATGTAATTTTTCTAAGAAACCCCAAAACTTCCAGATCAAAATGGGTATCGTTTTGACCGTCTCGTGCTACATTGCCTCGTTCTCACCGTCGATCGCGCTATTCTACTCGTTCATCGCTCATGATCCAGTTCGAATCATATTGTTCTTTTTGGGGTACTGTAGATGTTGAAAAATTCGAAAAAACGCAGAATTTTGTAGTTTTGGAAAATTCAAAAATATCGATTTTTGCGATTTTCTGAAATTTCAAAAAAAAAAAAAACATTCCAGATCATTCTTCTGGCTTGTCTCACTTCTAATATCATCGCTAGCATGGTTGGGACTGTCTACAGTACTCCCAAACACATTTTTAATATCGTTGGGCGTTTGTATCGTTGCTCAGGAGCTCTCGCGAGTCGCCTATTTTATGCTGTTGAAGAAGGCGCAAAAGTAAGTTTTCATCATGG